GTTGGTGGGGGCTGCAGTGGAGCCAAGCGCCGGGGACCACCAACTTAGGGTGTAGGTCGAGGTATTTGTTTTCCCCATTTTGTCATTTTTGATTTTTTTTTATTGTTTTTATCCTTTGTGTTGTTGTGACCATTTGTTGGGGGTGGTTATGCATGTGTGGTTTCATCTTAGGCGAGGTGTGTGTGTGTGTGTGTGCGTGGGGGGGGGGGGGGGGGGGGGAGTTCCCGTGTTTGCCACGATTTTGGGAATTTTGCCAGTTTAGGGTTTTCGTCTTTGGGATTCTGGTTTTTTTTTTCTTCTTCTTCCTTCAGTTGTTTTTTGTTGTGCTCTGGTTTGGGGGTCTTTTTCTCCAAATGGGTAGTGCATTTTGATGGTTTGTTTTGACGGTTTAGGGTTTTAGTCTTTGGGTTTTTGGTTTGTTTTTTTTTTTTTTTTTTCTTCAGTTATTTTTTGTTGTCCTCCGGTTAGGGGTTTTTTTTTCTCCAATTGGGTAGTGCATTTTGATGGTTTACTTTTTGTAGTTTATTTCTATTCGTTTTTTTTTATATAATAATTAGTTGATTCTGTGTTTATAATAGTAGTTAGTGTTGTGAAACTTGTGAACACTAATAGCCTCACGCTGGTGGCCATTTCTTTTACTGTCAACAACAATACTAAATTAGCAAATATTAAATCTATGCTTAACCAAATAATTCACCTAATCCGAACCTGTTAGTCACTTTTTTTTTTGGTAAGAAACCTGTTAGTCACTAATCCTTCTTTATTACTAATTTCAAGACATGCATCTTTTATAGGACAGATGCATTCTATGCATCATATATGCATATTTAAGTTTAGGAACTGAAACTGGTTCTCATGCATTCCTTGGTGGGTGCATTTGTTTGTGCGAATGTGTGCACTTTATGTTCTTCGAAAGTGCATGTTGGGGTTCAGATATGTGCAATCATGTTTTTTACTGAATTATATGTTTTTCTTTTGGGTTTTTTGTCATTTTTTTTCAGTGATTTCAGGTAAGAAGTCTAAGGTATCACATTCTGATGATAGTGATGATGATTTTGTTTCTCCACCTTTGACGTTCCTTGCAAGGCTCCAACAAGACCCGTTGTGGAATGCCCCCGACTATGAGCTTAGTGCCCATTTCAGCTACAATCTTTCCCCACTTCAATGTGGGTTTTTTGGCTGCCACACCCCTTTATAACCACATTGTACATTTTTGCTCACAGTTAGAGTTTGTTATATGCCCGTGTTCAGAATAATATTTTTTGGAGTGTTATTCTTTATTAGTTCCTTAGCTCTACACTTATCAAGTATTCCCATTTTTTAGGGTTGGATCTTAAGTGCTCAATGTTCAGTACGCGTGTGCTAATATCCCCGTGTGTGTCCTCGGGTTAATTTTTTTCATTTGCAGTTGATGTTTGTGTTTGCAAACTGTGTGCACACCGTATCTTTTTTATTTGCACACTATTCGTTAAACTGTGTGCAAGAGCATATGGAACTGTGTGCACCGAATAGAATTAAGGGCAAATAATGTGAGGTTTCAACCCGCGGTGGGACGTGTGTGCATACATGTGCAGATATTTATGCAGTGCAGCGATAATTCATTTAGTATATTCATTGTCCGGCATGCATTACGTCTGAACTTAGTGGGTGTGCACCGACTGAATCCCAGTTTTGCACACGTGTTTTCCCCTGTTTGACAGTGTGCACAATCTCGAGAAACTGTGTGCACTTCTTTTATAAACACGTGTGTGGTTTCCACATAAAAACAAACATAATTGGTGACCACATTTACATAAGACTTAAATTATCTCAATTTAAACTATTGCAAGTGTAATAATTATTAGTCGTCTGCACACAAGTATGCTCATGTATGCACGTGTGTTCATCTCTACTGGAACCCCTAGGTTAATTACCATTTATGAAAACCAATGCACATAACTACCTACGCTTATGCACACAGTATAATGTGGCGTTACATGTGTGCACAGATGGATATGAATGGGTGCACTACCGGTTACTGTGGTATGCCTCTTTCCTCTACGCATCTCACAATGTTGAATGGTGAAGCATCTCAGCCTCATTATTCCCGTTCTAGAGGTGCAAACTGGCTGGTCTCCCACATATCCTCCCTCCCCATTCTTCACCCCCATGTTTGTTTTTTCCATCCCCTTTTCCCTATATCACGGTAAATGAATAATTTATTTGTTAAAGTGTATACAATAACACATCGCAACAACGGTGATAAACAGTCTGAATTGCTTACCTGATTCCATCATTTTTTTGCTTCACTGTTGAACGTTTATCGCAGTCTGTTGTTAAAGCCTACATGAAACTCCAATAAACTAGCCGTGCACACACTAGAAAAACATAATGACACAGTACTATACAAGCATTTTCCGAACTTAGTGTGTTCTTCTGTAGAACTAGTGGTGCACACACCTAAAAACTAATGCGCACACACAGCACGCCATGCTTGTTCATAAAATATCAAAAGTCGTAGAATTCCGTTCGTCTAGGGTGTTTGTGTGGGGTGGTTTTCTGTTGTTGGGGGTTGCGGCATCTATTATGTCTTTTAATCCTACCATAATTATTTTTTTTTTGAAAGGAGTCCTACCATAATTGTTATTCTTTAATTTATGATGCATATCAGATTTTAATTCTTACCCGAAATTAGCCTAATTGCATATTGTCTTAACTGTGAGCATATATCCATTAATGTGTATCCAACTATTAGCTTAGACTTTTAGTTGAGATGGAGCACATGCTTCAATTTGGTATCAGAGCCAGACCAAAGGTCATGAGTTCGAATCTCAACACCACTCATAAGCGACTACGATTTACCGGTCCACGTGTTGGTTGGAATCCACCGTACACGTGAGGGGGCGTGTGAGCATATATCCATTAATGTGTATCCAACTATTAGCTTAGACTTTTAGTTGAGATGGAGCACATGCTTCAATTTTAACTGCCCCTCTAATCATTAATTAAGATTGTCTAATATTTTTATTCCCTTAAAATCAAATCCGTTAATCTACTCAAATCCTATGGCCCATATTTTTTCACACGTTTGTATTTTAAGGGGGTTTGCATGTGAATGCAGCCCTATATATATAATATATATTTTTTACTTTATAAATTCGCATGCAGTGCATGAACCTACGAAGGTATATATTTTATGAAAATAAGATTCAATTAATTATTATTATTTTCCATGATTAATATATCAGTTAAGATATATCTTTTTGGAAGTTAGAGTTTTAAACTTCTGTAAATTTCATGTAAACTCTCCTAACCGTCAAAATATTTTATATAAATATGTTGGAGGGACATCTAAAAGATACAGGAAAATCAACAGGTAATTGATGGAGGCAATCAACTTGGTGGAAACCAAGATATTTCATAGTTCTACAATTCTACGGGAAATTTTTAAATAAAGCAACTTGAAATTTTCATTCATCTTCTTGTATCCCATAAGATTAAATCTTGAACCTTGTTGATTTTATAGAGGTAGATTTAAAGCTTATAAGAAAGTGATTACACGCCTGAAGATATCAAATGATCCAGTTTTTATTCCCTGTTGTCTTCTGTATTTTGTTGTACCTCACATGTATTACAGAATACAAGCACTTTTTTCCAACACATATTAGTTGGCAAAACATTTTTTTTAATCGCTAACAAAATAAATTTGAGATAATGTGGATGGGAGCTTTAACCCAATCTCCAGAAGGGCTAAATGTGGGGGTCTCGCCAGAAACGAATGGAAAATTATACCGTGCACCAGGGCGCACAATATTGTGCGCCGTAGCCCTAAACGACGTCGTTTTGTACCTTTTCGCGTGTGTGCTGTTAACTCCTTAAAAAAATCATGTTTCGAATGTACAGAATTGTATAATAGAATACACAGAATTTTATACCTGAAAACGCCAAATTTTATAACTGAATACACATAATCTTTTTTGAAAGGATAATACACATAATCTAACATAATACATAATATGCATAAACTCTTAACATAATAGACATAAATTCTTAACATAATACACATAAACTCTTAACTCTAAAAAAAAAAAAAAAAAAAAAAAAAAAAAAAAAAAAAAAAAAAAAAAAAAAAACATCAATGTTTTGAATGTACAGAATTATATAATAGAATGCACAAAATTTTATAACTGAAAATACAGATTTTTATACCTGGAAAGTGGAAACACAAAATTTTATAACTGAAAATTCACATGTTTCGAATGTACATAATTATATAATAGAATGCACATAATTTTATACCTGAAATTAACAAAACAACGTTGTTTAGGGAGACGCGGGGTGCATATTGCTATGTACGCCATGGTGCACGGTATAACGATTGGAAACGAATGTGGTGATTGGTTGAAGGGATTCTCGTATGATGTGGGAGCGTGTTCAGCGGCAAATTATTGTATGGACCATGGTCCACACAGTGTTATGTGGACCATAACAAAAAATATATTTTTAATATACTAAATGTACATTATTTTTGTACTGAGTGTACATTATACAACATAATGTACACTCAGTACAAAAATAATGTACATCCTCTGAATACAATGTACATTATTTTTGTGCTGAGTGTACATTATTTTTGTACTGAATGTACATTATTTTAGTATATAAAATATGGTCCACACAACTTGTATGGACCATGGTCCACACAATAATGATTGGTGTTCAGCTGAAATGGCCGAAGCTTGGGCTTTGCTCAAAGGTGTCCAATTGGCAAAGTTGATTGGCAGCAAGCAAACGTGTTTTGAATGTGATTCTAAATGTATAGTGGATGCAATTAACCTGGGAACCAAAGTGAATAGCATGGCTAATATAATTGAAAAGAACTAATTCCCAATTTGATAAACAAATATATTATTTTAGATAAATAATAAAATATTTATGTTTTATATATATAAACAATAAACAATTAAAGCGCTAAATAATTAAACATTTTACCAATAATAATAATTAAATATTTAAGTATTTGCGGTGAGCGTGGATCAAACACGCGGCCGCCTTCAGATCTTCAGTCTGACGCTCTCCCAACTGAGCTATCCCCGCACTTGATTTTGCCTTTTTTTACATACAAAATCTTCCATTTTTATTTTCTAGTTGGGGTGCAAAGCTCCAATTCAGCTTCATCCTTATGCAACGCCGAAGAGATAATATCAAAGTCCCATACTAAAAATTGTTAAAATTAAAAAGAAGTCTTTAAAGTTGAGTATAGTATGATGATAAACGATTATATGTAACGCTGAAAAGTTAGCAATCTGTTTTTGTTTTGGATTTCAGACAAAGTGTTTGAATTATTGCCTCAAAGAGAGGCTTTCTTGATATGAATTTTTTTCACCGATCGGAATGTGTGGTTGGAATGTAAAGTGACTTCACTTTCCTACACACTATATAAACAAGCAAGGCAACTTTGTCTAAATGCACGAAATAATTTTTCCTCTTTATCTTCCTTTCGTGTTTGCTTATTAAAGTCTGAGCAATAGTGAGGTTCGACTACGTTTAAGTTGGTGTGAGCTTAGCGTGGTTGTTTTGCATTGCCTATCGAAAGCGTCCTGGTTTATTTTGACTGCACCGTCACCAAGCAAATAATGCTTTTAAGGTAGTGTTATTATAACACGACACAGACTTTCTTTCAGTGATACACCCGTTGTGTCCTTGTTTCTTAAAAGGTTTCCAGCCCGCGCGTTGACGTTGCGAATATTTTCCAACAGTTAAAAGGTTATTTTAGCAACAGTCAACCTTTCAGCGTTATGATACCTTTTGTCACAAATGAACGACAAGTTGTTTGACATTTATGTCAAACAAGACTCGGTAAAAGTCATTTGGGAATCGTTGTCAGAAAAGTACGGTGCCACTAATACTAAAAATCAAAGTGTCAGAAATGTCTATAACAAAAGGACTGGAAAAGTCAAGACGGTCAAATGAAGATGTTTCATGTATGGAAAGCAAGGACACCGAGCATACCAGTGCTACCATCGCAGGGGTAAAACTAGAAGAAGTCAATCTGACAAAGCAAGATGAGTATTGCATTTCTTTAAATAAGTAGTTATTTTGAATAACTCTAATTTGCTCTAGTTCTAAGGGCTCTCATTAAATGTGATTTTCTTAGTACTGAATACTAGTTGAGTTGTCTAGATTTTGATTACTTAGTATTACTTATTTCTTTAGTATGTTGAATACTAATGACGTTGATTAAAATGAATTTGGCATAGATATTGCTCAAATTTTTACTGAAATTATTTGTATAAAAAATAAGAGCATATATCAAAGGCTTCAATTACAATTTGATGATAACATAGAAAAGTCATCTTTCTTAAATACTCTGTCTAGGAAGATGGTTTTTTTAAGTAAACTTCGGTTTCACCACTCGACCTGGGAGTTCTTAAGAATTAGGGTGTTGATCATGCAGGCTAGTTAGAACGCCACTTGATCTTCACCTGAAATGAGATTGACTTTCATATGTTGTTAAACAATCAAAGCCTTGTAATAGAAATTGTTGAAGTACTGCAATAGTAATATTGATTTGCATCATATGAATCCTTTATATGAGTTTTTAATTTCTTCAAGTGAAAGAAAAGTTTTGCATGTGGAATAACTTTGAGTATTAAAGTTATACTTGTTGAATTCACCGTGTTAAAATATATTCCCTAATAAATGTCAGTTTGAACATATTCTTTGCGTATGAGATTAACTTCTTTTAAAAATATTATGTGAAATTTGTGATTATGTTGTCCAACTTGAAGTAACATACAGACAACATTATCTCTGTGGCTTACAAACAATGAGCATTTATATATATTATTTAAATTCTTGGTTGTGTCATCTTGAAAGACCTATAATTCATATTTAAAGGGTAATTATGATGGGTCAAGATAACCAAGTTTGTTGAAATATATTCAATTGAGTATGTATCAGGTGAAGTGTGGGGCTACTATAATGCTTCACAACGCAAATTTGCAAAACTCAGTCTACAAAGGCGCTAATGTTGGGCATCAAAGATCAATCTGGGTAAGAGATCAAATACTTTTGAGAAAAATATTTGTAAGTGTTGCATTGTGGGGGTAATTAACTCCTGATATATTTCTTTCTTAAAAGTCTCTCTGTGGTACCAACAATAATGGTAAAAGAAAATATTTCATGTTGAACATGAAAATTTTAAGGGAATTATTTGTGAGTAAATAAAGTACTCATCGTAAGTTTGATCGAGAGGATCAACTTACTTTAATAGAAATGACTAATTATGAGGTTAGTCGTTGAATTATTGGAATGGCTTAAAGGCCAAGAGGTAATGAATTCGTGGTGGGTCCCACTTCTGTGGTCAAACGAAGCCATGAAAAGAATCACAAGTAGTACACTAATTGGTCATTCCTACAATGTGCGTACTTGTGAGGTTGAGGTACACCTCTTAATGAATTCATAACCCTATGAGAATGATGGTTTTGTTGAGACAGACCTAATGAATTCACTGCATAATGCTTGAGTACAAAAGTGCTCTTAATGATTTATACACTCAATTGGGAGGTCTATTTTGAGGTAGACCTAACGAGATCCCTGACTTGAGTGAAAAAGGGTTAACCGCCTCTGTTGATATACACACAACCCAAATGATACTCACTGGAGTGCACTGAGACGAGTGCTTCGATACCTAAGAGGTACCATAGACTGGGGACTAGACTATGTAGGGTTCCTAGTAGTGATAGAAGGGTTTTGTGATGCAAATTGGGTGAATGACATTGAGGATGTCAATTCAACAAGTGGATATGTGTTCCTCATGTGTGGGGCAGCTGTATCGTGGAGATCAACGAAACAGTCATGAATTGCTAGAACGACTATGGAAGCATAGTTCATAGCTCTTGATCTAGCCAACCAAGAGGCTGAGTGGCTAAGAAATTTATTGGCAGACGTGCCATTGTGGGGGTGTCCAACACCTGCCGTGCCCATACACTGTGATCCCCAAATCGTCATTTGTGTGGCAAATGACTAAAGATTAATCACAATAGAGTTTGTGAGGTCTGAGAAATCCTCTCACGAAAGGTCTAAACTAAACCATCCTTGAAATGTCCAGGGGGATGGGGTTAAGACCAGTGAGATAAGGAGTTCATGACGGATACCACTTCTATGGTCAAACGAAATCATGCGTCTATACTGAGATAGACTTGACATAGTTAAAAGTCTATATTGAAATAGACTTGACAGACATAAAAAGTCTACAATGCGATTAGACTTGCCAGAGTTAAGAGTCAATATTGAGATGGACTCTAACAAGGTAGAAGTCTATATTCAGATAGACATAACACACTTGAATACTAAGGTTATTCATAAGAAGTCAAAGAGTTTGACTTTTGTAGAACCTGTTTTTTGAGTTGGTGTGTGCACTAGAGTTCAAAATTTATCCAACCGGTGAGTTCAAATTTCATATCACTCTCGGAAACACTAGTACAAAAAATATCAATAAAATCGTATTATTGGCGTCCAAAAGTAGAACTTTGGACTCCTAAAGTGTAGTGCGGTGGCATTTTTGTAATTAAAATGCCAATTTTTATTTTTATTATTATTAATTTTTAAAATAAAAATGAATAGGCGTCCAAAGTTGTACAATTTTGGACTCCTATTAGTAATCCGTCCAAAAGGTAAAATAATAGGTGTCCAAAGTTGTAGAGCTTTGGACTCCTATTATTAAACCGCCCAAATAATAGGCGTCCAAACTGCGTAACTTTGGACGCCTATTATTAGGTTTTCTTCTACGGGATTGTCTTCAGAGCGCATTTCTATCGCGACACAAACCCTCCACCACTCCAAACAACTCTCCACAACGTACTTCGTTCGTCGCCGGCGCCGCTCGTCGTCTCTGTAGCCACGGCCGTTGTCGTCCACAGCAGATCGAGCAGCCGCAGTCGTCCTCCACCGGTCGCCGTCATCCACAGGAGATCGAGCAGCCGCAGTCGTCCTCCACCGGTCGCCGTCGTCCACAGCAGATCGAGCAGTCGCAGTCGGCCTCCACTCCTCCATCGTTGCCACCGGTCGCCGTCGTCCACAGCAGATCGAACAAAGGTAATTTTAAAAAAAAAATACAATAGGCGTCCAAAGTCAACGAACTTTGGACTCCTATTGTAGTTTTAGGCGTCCAAGTAACTTTGGACGCTGATTGTCTATGACAATCAGCGTCCCCTGCATAGGCGTCCAAGCAATTTTGGACTCTTATTGTCCATTTGCTTGGACGCCTATGACCTGTTCTGTAGTAGTGAAAGAAAATTACTCAGTGTCACTACGTGTCAGTTCAAGTTCACAAACACTAACACTAAGATCAACTCATTTGTATTGCTCAGACATTATTACCTTCTAGCCTTCTACTTTGAATGTGTGGGGGATTATTGGAAATAATCCATTCAAAGTGCAGGCATAATTTTTGGAGTCAGCAAATGACTTCCGTCATTTGCGTACACAAGGTGTGGCAAAATGAGTTTTATCATTTACCACTCACCTTGCTTTTAGTTAATGTGTGGTTGGAATGTAAAGTGACTTCACTTTCCTACACAGTAAATAAACAAGCAAGGAAACTTTGTCTAAATGCACGAAATACTTTTTCCTCTATCTTCCTTCCTTGTTTGCTTATTAAAGTCTGAGCAATAGTGAGGTTCGGCTACGTTTAAGTTGGTGCGAGCTTAAAGTGGTTGTTCTGTGTTGCCTGTCAAAAGCGTCCTGGTTTATTTTGACTTCACTGTCACCGGGCAAATAACGCTTTTAAGGTAGTGTTATTATAACACGACACAGACTTTCTTTCAGTCATACACCCGTTGTGTCCTTGTTTCTTAAAAGGTTTCGAGCCCGCACGTTGACGTTGCGAATATTTTCCGACAATGGAATGGAACTTGTGGAGATGTATATGTTAGATCCTCCAAACATGGTGAAAGAGAATTTGCAAACATTGGTTTGTGCGATGCCAATTCATTTGAGGAAAGAAGTATATTATGGCAGGTTTCTAAGCATAAGAAAACTGAAAATTTTGTATAAGGTTGTCTTCGAGCCGGGTTGCGGAAATTCCATCATGG